ACTGGAATGCTGAGCAACAGCAGCAGCATGAAGCTACAAAGGCAAAAATGACCCAGCAAAGCTGAATCTAACACACCACAGCTGCTTCCCAATATGTAAACTTAGGTATCTATGGATTAAATTGATAGTTGCCTAAGTTTCCTAATTTTTGTTTCAGACTTCTTCTCTGGCACTATTTAATTGTTGTGCATTTTACAATAGCAGAAAAAATGATGGGAAGATCCCCCTGCAAAAATCAGTAATTTGTAAGGTTAGACTTCAGGCATTCTCCTTTAAATTGTGATCCTGTTAAAATATCAGGGCAAGAGAATTGGATTTGATCATTCTGTTACCTTTTTGTTTGGTGGTAAAGAAGTTGGTATGAATGAGTTAACTGTTCAAAGTTTGTTTTTCCTAGATGGATGTGCCTCCAAGGATGGACATTGCCTTTGAATTAGATTTCGCAATTGTCATTGGCTGCATCCTTGATTACTGAAATTAAGAATGGCTCAGACTCTTATCTAAGAGCAGGGTGGAGAGCTAGGTAAATGTTTCTTCCCCTAGCCTGTCTCCATGGCTGGGACAGGGAGGGGTTTGTTTGCCTAATCAGCCTGTGATCTGAGGATTTGTTTTTCAAAGGAGCATGAGGGGCTGGTGTCCTTGGGTTCCCAAGCCTGAGGCAGTAGTGCTGGGAAAAATGTAATTGGGGCCCATCCTTAATATTTATAAAGAGGACATAGAACGTTTTTTTAATAACTAAATCTAGCCATGCAGCAAAGCAAAAGTAAGTCGGAAATAAGTATTTTATTTATAACTCAGTGCACTAAAATCCAACCAAACAACCCCAAATATAGTCCAGTTCAACCTTTGTTTTATGTCACCACGTTGTACTTGTTCTTCCTCATCTCAAAATGACAGTTCTGGGATCTTGATGTCGACCTGTGGAAGAGTGATTCCCAGACAGAGCATCTGGCTCCTTGTGTGAGTCCTGAGGCAGTTGGTTGTGTTGGGGGCCATGGAGTTGCCTCTGGCTCTGACATGTGGTTGTGTGAGTTGCTTGATGGGGCTCAGTGGCAGCTCTGCCCTGCTGAATGCTGCCTTGTTTTGACTTTCCCAAGAAGTCAGTTTGCACTTCTGAATTATTTTTGTAGCGACCATTCCCTTTAGGAAGTATTGCCCTTCCCTCTCAGCCTTTTCTACTCCTACAGCTGGGTGCAGTAAGAGCAATGCTGTAAACAGCATCCTCAGCCTGCTGAGGGGCACAGCCTTCCCCTGTGCTACATCTGGTAGAATTACTTTGTTTTGCCTTCACCTTGCAACTTAAAGCACAATACTTATGGCTCCTTCTTGGAAATTTGAGAAACTGTGCACAGGAGTAAGAATATGGATGTTGAAGGCATGGAGGGGGGGTTTTTTTGTACAAATAATGCAAGGAGGATTTAAGGATTTGACTCCTGAAGAGGGTTTAATTGCTAGCAAGGCCAGAGGAAATAAACTGTGTGTCATGACTTCTGCTGATCTGGTGTGAGAGTTACCACTCAGCACTGTGCAGAGCTGAGCCCCTCTGATCTCAGGGCTGGGTACTGCACATACATCCACACTGGCAGAGAACTAAGCACGGTCCTTCCCTTTGGTAGCTGAAGTACAACACTTTTACATGCTAATTAGATTCATGTCATGACCTGTCTTTCACTTATAGACAAGTCCTCGGCACAAGAACAGGTCCAAGAACAGAAATTTTAATCCCCTTCCCTATCCAGCCTGAGACATTTCCCTAAATCAGAGCCATTAAAGCTGCAAATGCACAAAGAGGATATGTAACTCAATTACAGGAGAGAAAACTATACCCAGCTGCAACTGATGTGGAAATTGGGTATGGCTACTGCAAATCACTGTGGAATTATACAAGCTGGCATTAAACAAGCAGCAGGGCAAATTAGCCCTGTACTGAGCTGCATGCTGCTGTGCTTACACAGCTCCTGAGTTAACGTGTCTAAATGCAGCACAGCTCTCTCTACATACTGCTGCATTTTGCTAAATCCAGCAGGGACCAAAGAATAGGAATTGCTTAAAATATCTGGTCTTCCTTTCTGCAAATTTAGCATCTTCTCTCATCTCAAAGCTCAAGAGACCATTCTGAAGCAGGGGAAAATCCTGTGTGTAATTAACCAGCCCTGACTTGTGTCCCCAAGACCACTTTTCTGCAGGCTAATTCCCTAGAGCTATAGCCAAAGAGTGCTGGATTTGTGCTTTGAGATGGCGCATGCTGTGGTTGCAAATCCTGTGGTTTTAATTGCTAGAGGCCATGCAGCACTGCCCCATGAGCAGTAGCATGGGACCCAGAAAAAGGCAAGAAGTTCTTGGCCTGGATTCAATTCCATGCAATGAGACTTGCAGAGAGCACAAAAGGTATGCAAGAGGCAGCTGGAGAAAGGTTTAGGGATGCAGAAGAGAAAAAGGGTTTACAGGCAAAAGCACCATTATAAAAATAAGCAAAGTGCCAAAACAAAACAGTGCAATAAGTGCTTTAAACAAAATGTACATAAACTAAGAGGGCACCCATTTTCCTTGAGAGAATACCTATCTTTTCAAAATGCATAGCCTTGATGACTCTTTTTGGCAGTGCAACAGAGATGTACTGAACATTTTTTAGAAATTATACCCAAAACACTAAAAGCTGGATCTTCCAATTAGGTGTAGACCAGCACAGCCTGTTAGGTAGAAATCACAACTAATATTATAAGTCTGTTAATAGCAAAGCTTCTTGCCCTGCTGTAATTAGCACTGTGTGATTTTCCCTTTTGCTCCTTTCCAAAAAATCAGTTATTTCAGAAGTAGTCATAAAGGTTCAAATATCAAAGAAGAGCTAATGGTCTTTCTGTATGATAATAATTGTTGACAAGTGGCTTGAAACTTAGATATACAAAGACTTTTTCAGGCAGCTACTCTGGGGTGGGCTTTAAAAATGTATTTTGCAAAAACTCACAGCTTCTTTGTCAAATGCTTCATTTTCATACAATTTTTGACTGAGCAGAGAAAGACCATCTTTAAGGGGCTGGATTGCCCATCTGGGGTCAGTGCAAAAGGATGGAACAGATTTTTTTTATAATTATTTATAAGATGTCTGCTTTCATAACGCTGTTCCTTGAGTGTCAGACAACCTCGGGGGCCCTTGGCCACCCCCCTCCATGTGTTGGTCATCAGTAATGATTCATTCCTTGAAAAGCATGGAGCAACTCTTAAATCCATCTATATTCCCCTCCCTCCCCATGTTGTCCATCTTGTATTTGTATAAAATTTAAGATTTGAGGGTATCAGGAACACATTTCTTCAGGTCTCGGTTAAACTCAGATACTGTTTTCAATGGAAACATCATTGGCAATGTATTTGTAATGTTTCTTTTGATCCTACAGCCCCACCCTGGCAAAAAGCTCCTCAGAGGTGCACTCTGGCCATTAATATTACCTCACAGTCTAGTCACTGCTCCCTTCTGCCATAATTCTTATTCATAGTTTGGTAACTCTAGTGGCCCCAATCATTGTGCAAGCTGCTGCACAAATCCTTAGGGTTTATCTAGAAAACATTTTACATTCCTAGTTTAAATGGCTTGGCTGATTGACTGATAGTGTAACAATATACTAGGCTGGACAGACCATTGAACCTCATTCCAGGACTCAAATGTTATTGTCTCCCTTTACATTTACTGTAAATGCTCCAGAAATGTTTGTGCTCTGGGGGAAAAAAAAGCCAACAAAGTGCAGTGTCTACCTCTTTCAAACATATTGGGAACAACAATCTCAGCTAAAAATGTAATCTAAACTGCCAACCTAGCTGTCTCTTCCAAGGCCTGATAAGGTTTATAGTCTAAGATCACAGTGAAAGGTCCTCTTGCAAGACAACCTAAAGCAGTTTAAGCATCACCACCCTATCTCTTCATTCAAACACTGAATTGAAACAAGCAGCTGGACCAGCACTTCTGTTTCACAGTGCCAGCAGAACCAGGTTCATTTGAAGAGCCTCTGTCCTCAGTAACTTCTGGAATTCCTACAGCTATACGTGTAAGAGAACCTCTCGCTATGGCTGGGATAGACAACACAGGATCAGAAAGAGCCACAAAATGACTGGTGTTCTTTTCTTGGCTTTTGACTGTAACTCCTAAACCAGTAAATAGGATGTTGGTTTCTAAAACTAGTAATTAAGATGTTTCAAGAATCTAAAGCAGTTTCCCTTTAAGGGAGGGAAGAGCTGCTTGCTAGACATGTCCCAGTGAATGGCACCTGCCTACAGTAGGTGAACAAACGTGTAGTTTTTGTCATTTTGTCCACTATCATGAAGTGGTAGTGAGTTAAACACCACATGAATGCATCAGACTAGTTTATATATGCCTTTGCAGCTAGAACTGTAAATACTTTTAAACTGCACTCTGCTCTCTACTGCTTGGAGTGGATAAATGCAAAATGGATAAACCATTTTCCAGCTGATCTACAGAAAAACAGGGACAGACAATCCCCCCCAAGGGACTGACCTGTAACAAGGAACTGTTGAAAATTTTCCATCAAGTTCCCAACTTTTTCATTAAAGGTGTTTTGGCTAGTTGGTATTGTCTGAGGATCTCTCAAAACCTTTATCACAGAGCAGAAAGGCTTGTTTACAATTCTTGGCAAAGTCAGCACATGTTGTGAGCTAATTGTTGGAGAGTGCTTCTTATGGAGCTCCCCGCTCTGAGGATAGAGGTCAATGTTGGAAGGGAATGAGTAGACAAAGAGGGTGAATGCCTGTCAAGGAGGACTGAGATTGACAGGAAAATGCATTGTTTTCTGAAACCTGGAGATGATATCACATTTGGTCAAGTTGGAGGCACTTTTTTATCAGGAGGCCTACTGATTGGAAAGGTCAGCAAGTCTGGAACAGGGCTATTCTGATTCAGTGTTGTGCTACAGCCTGGCTTTACCCAGGATTGAGGTTATACATGCTGTCTTCTCTTTTTTCTGCCTGCTCTGTGCTTTGGCTCCCTTCTGCAGAGCACTGTGGAGGAAGGCACATGGAGCTCCATGTAGAAGCACGTTCGGGACACAGCAGCAGAAATTTGAAATAAATGGACCACTAGAGGGCATCTGCTCGTTCTCACAGCTGGAATGGAATCTTGTTCACCCCTGCAGAATGTCAGCCCAGTATTTACAGTTAAAGGTAAAAAAAGGTTCTGGACCTCAATGCCGCCAGCATTTTTTTTTCTTTAATTAACACATCCTTGTGGTTTGTGTCCTCAAAAGAAGAATACACTGAAATGTGTTAATAAGCCAAGTTTAAGATGGTATATCAAGCTCTGCAGGTTACCAAAGTTTGACAAAGATCATCCTGAATGAACAGAAATTGATGTTTGCTTATTTTCCTGCATGTTCAGAGAGAGCAAATGGGCTTTGAGAGAAAGAGGGAGGAACTCAGTTTGCCTACTGCCCCTATGAATACACTTGGAATTAATCTACATAGAGATGCTGAAGGAAGTCAGGAGAATGTTCTCAGTATCTAATACAATGGCCTTTTTTTGCTATGCTTTAATTCTTCCTGAGAACAAAAGAATTACATATATTTATAAAATTTAATTTAGGTGTGCTCTCTTCACAGGTTTGGTTGATTGCCTTTGTTTTTCTAAGTACTGCATGTGGCTGTGGCTTCACCATGGTACGCTAGGGTTTATGAGCCCTGAGGAGCTCATGTGGTAGCTGCAGAGCAGTGTCTGAGCCACACTGCAGCAGGAAGATCTGCACACAACTGGCTGGAGGCTGGCTGGACACAGCCCACAAGACATCAGTGTGGCTATTGATTCACCCATGGTCGGTTGTTTTCTTTTGTGTGTGGACTTTCCCTCCTCCTCTCTCAAAGAGGTCCCAGCACAAGGTACCTCAGTCCTTCTCTTCAACACCACCATCTCCAGATAGGAGGGAGAAGAATTTTATTTCAGCTCTAAAATAAAACTCCAATGGTCTCCACTTGACAGATCTGATTCCAGGTTAAAGATAATCCAAACCTTCCTGTCCAGTGCTCTCCAGGCTTGCTTTCTGCAGCTGAGGGATGATAGTCCTACACTAGTGCAGGCTAAGCCTCATCCCTTCCTTCACCCTTTCTGAGCAGAAATCCTCAGATGTGCCATACTGTGCCAAATCCTTTACAGTGGTTTTGTGATGTGAGTTAGTATCTGCTGGAGATGCTGAGCTGAGACGTGAACTCATTTCACAGAGGGCTTGACCTGAATTCCCTGAAGTGAGAGTCTCGTCCTTTTACTCACTGAGCTCCCTCTTTTTGTACTTAATCAAATCCTAAATCCTCTGAAGTGAAAAAATGCACATTTTGTTTTCAATGATTTGCTGAAGCTGAATGCTTCTCACAACCAGCAAGGCCTATGAAACCGGTATTTATTAAGGATGAGTGATTTCTCACACTTATTCTGTTTCTATCCAAGGCTGCCGACTTGGTCCACCTGGGTTTCAGAACTGAGATATCACATTTCCCACGTCTCATGCCTTCTCTGTACTTGCCCTGCATTATTTATTAAGGCACTGAGTGCTCCTGGGGTTCGCTGTCAGGCAGGGTCAGGCTCCTTTGGGCTCAGCTCTGCTGCTGCAGTGCTGGAAGGCTGATGCACCAGCCAGTTTATTGAGCAGACTGGACCCGCAGCTGGTGCTGCAAATTGAGGTTATATATATCATATTGAGGTTATATATTGTATAACCTCAATGCTGGAACTTAGAAGTTACTCAGTGGAGAAACTCAGAGGAAAGTGGGAATCAAAGCAGAAGAGAGGACATGGGGATTCTGATTCTACAGGAAGATAAGTAGATTAATTGGTGTCTCCCTCAGAGCTGTTTTGGCTATCAATTCTTTCAGGTCAGGCAAGGTTGCAATATCCCTGCTGGCAGTAACACTCTTAATGAGTGAGTTGATCAAATCAGTGTCATCCATTTGGAGTTTTCTTGCCAGGTTGGGCTTGTAAAAGAGTTTCAGCAACTTTTTCATCAAGAATCTTACCAAAGCGGCTGGGGGGGAGTAGGGAGAGAAAAATGCTGTTTAGTATTAAAGATCTGTTGCTATTTTTAAACTGCTAATTGGATCCCCCCTCTGAATCATTCCAGATCAAACATGTATGTGGTTAACTAAGACTCTAATTTGGAAATTTGTTGTGCTACCTTTTGTGCCAGGGAAAAAAGAGTTGTAGCAGCATGGCCTACATGGACACTTTATTTTCCCTACAGCTGTGATATTTCTGTAGCTTAGGAGGAACAGTGGCTGATTGCAATAGGAGGAAAGCATAAACAGGCATTAGTGACTTGGGAAAAAAAAAAGTTCTATGAAAGATTACAGAGCTGTTAATTTTCATGGTGTTTCTTTATTTTCCAAGAGATAGGCAGTGCGGCCCAAATCTTCCTCTGAGATGGGGAGGAGTGTGAGTGCTCCATTAAAGCTGATGTTTGGATGAGACCATATACTACTACGAACAGCAAAAAAAGATGCATATGCATGTGGTTCATCCTTGGACTCCAGAAGGGGGGCAGACGCTTCCTAGATCCTGCAAGTCAAGTTTCATATTTTAAAATTCTGGGTCACTTCATTAATTAAAAAGTTATGTTTTTAAAATTGTTTCTAATCAAATGCACTGTGGCACTGGGAGCTGGAGTGTTTTTTTGTCTGAAGCCTATATCATCCATCAAAACGTGCTTCATGAAAACAGCTGGATCTCATGTTTGAGTCTTCATAACTGAACTGAATGTTTAGGCTGTCTTTTTCCATCAAATGTGTGATTTAACAGTGCAGCAGTGGAGGAATCTAGGACAGTTTCTGAATTGCAGATTTCTGTACTCGCTGTTTGCGAAGTAGGAAGAAAAAGAAAAGACAGACTGCTGGCAGAAAAGTAAAATACTACTACAATAAGCATACACCACATTCTATTTGATGGACAGCAGTGCCTATTCCCATAGAAAAGGGCTGGGATTCATGTGGGTTAGTTCCTTGTGAAATGTGCATAGAAATCCAAATATTCTCTTCTCAAACACATCGGCTGCCATTCTCTTCTTCTGGTCACTTACTAATATTAGAAGCCGCAAACTGCTACAGTAAAGTTGCAGGAAAGGTGTTGTGTGTTTGCAAAAAAACCCCAACAAAATTAGGCCTGTGTGGATCCATCCTGCAGTCTTTCCTCCTGCAAAGCTTCCCATAGCCCTGTGTGTGTCCGTGTCTATGTCCATGCACGTGGGTTCCCATTTGCTACAAATGGCTCTGTCCCTTTTCTTCAGGATCTGTCAGAACGAGCATCTGTACAATGTTCAGCTCTGCGCTTGACTGAAAGCTTGAGAAGTTAAAAGCTTTTAGAACAGTCTCAAAAAAAAAATCAACAACATGCACATATAACTAAAAACACATGACAGATGAGAAAAAAGAGAAATAATGTAGCATGCAGTAACATTTGGAACCTTTCTCTCTTTTTAGCAGTATCAGAGAGGCTCAGCAAGAAAGGGACCCCTGGAATCCACAGGGTTGCTCTCAGAAACACAACAACAGCTGAACAGTGCATGAGAGCTGAGGCTTCAGGGAAAACCTCCATGAAAAATAAAAGGAAAGGAAAGAAAAGGGGAAAAAAAACCAGGTTTTTTTTAAAGCTCTGTACAGATGCAGTGACAATTTGATGAGTCTTTCTGCTTTTTTTGCTTTCATGCAAATTGATAGCCTGCTCTTGGGAAAGGTCTACAGTGGTTGTGAGCATCCTATTGTCTGCTTGAAGTTACAAGCTGACGGGATAAGCTAAGAAAAGAAGTGTTGTAGAAAAGTGAAAAGGTGTTTTGACAATGTCAGGAATTCTGTGTTGCTGGTGGACATGCACTCAGAGCTAAGGCTCATAGGCAAATTCACAACATTAAGAAAATTACAGTGGAACCAATGTAATGCCAGTGCCAAACACTCAAAAAGACACTAAGTTCTGCCTCACAGGATCATGAAAGTATTATAATACTGCATGGCTCTTTCAGGCAACAATGTGCTGTTTTGATATGCTTTCTGTTTTTTTAACTGCTGTGGGTTGTGTTCTCACGGTTTGCCCTGCAACCACAGGGATACTTTTTATATTCTTTAGATGAAAGCTGTTCCTTCAGCTTCTTCAAGACGAAAATTGAGAGTGTGGCCTTTAAGAAAATGATCAAACGTGACAAGTGTTGCAGTAAAGTCACAAACAGTGAACCAATTTTTGTTATGATGTTTTGGCTTCTTATGGATAAGAACACAGTTGCACTTCTGTTTTGCTTGCTCTCTAAAGCCTTGTGTGTATAAACCTTGCCTTCCCCTGTCGTACCAGCTTTTCTCTGACCCCAAAGAGGACAGCTAGACTTCTCAGGCATCGTTAGCTAGTGTGGCCTCTCTTGCCTTACTGCCTGTCAATATGGGAATAGATTCACTGCAGCATTAATGTGGATGAACATCTGAGCTTAAGCTGTTGTAGAGGGTGAGCAGTCACAGGGCAGAACCAGTTACAGGCACTGCGAGGGCGTATGAGGATTTGTCCCCTGAAATTTATGAGTGTGGTAAGCTGAAGTGCTCTGTGAACCTTTCCTAGTCTGTTGTGAAAGGGTTTCTCTTTCCTTCCCATCTCATCACAGAATATTACAGAAGATGTTGGAGGACTGGTGACCACAAGGAGCAGTTTTGTGTTCATTGCAAAGCAAGAGAGTTAAGAGACCCCTTACAGAAGGTTTTTCTTGGGAGTTCACCCCCTAAGGCAGGACAGAGAGTTAATCATCCTGAATTACCCCAGGTGTAATCTGTAGTAGCTTTCTTGGCAAGGGAACATGCAAAGTTAGAGAGTGTGAGTTAATTCTGCAGCTAATATGTGCACCTGTGAAAAAGTGGTGGTGACCATATTTTACACTTTTTTTTATGTGGCTTCTCTGTTGGGGAATTACTGTATTGGTAGCAGAATGGTGAGAAATTCATAGGGAAATACCTTGGTTGGTTGGACTTGAGTACTTTGAACCTGGCTTTGTATCAAAGTACTTTCATCTGCATGTTTTGGTCCAGAGCATGTTGGGTATGAACTTCCATTGTCCTGAAACAAAATCATTTTTTTACTCCTATGACAAGTAAATAAAGGAGGGTGTAAGACAGGACTGCTTTCACATGGTAG